GAAATCGATAGCGATCAGTTTAAGGCAACCGGAGGTTTGCAAGCAGTGAATGCTACTACAATCTCTCACGTTGCGCAGGCCTTGATATGGGTCCATCCGTATGGAACACTGATGAGACCAAAGGTGGCATCACATCTCGGCTGACCAAATTTACTTCGCGAAGTGGTCAGTGAACTATGTCAAGTAGGCCAAATAAGGTCAGTTTTCTTTGACAACACGGAGTTTATCACTTGGCCCGATCAATTTAACTTTCGTCTGAATAAATTCAGACTCTGTCCTACTTTCGTTTCTGCTTTCATTATCTTATGCATATCGAAGTTATACTTGTAAAAGTATTCGCCTGATATGAGTTCCCAAAAAGGGATTTTTTCGCAACCGTGTTTTCCTACATTCCTATGGGCATTATCTACAATTTTGCATTGTTTTAGTCAATCGCAATATAGACCACATAAGACCCCAACTCTGCATACTGATCACCTACGTCAGTTAGATGCTTATCTCGGGTAACACAGTCAACCTTAATTGGAGGGTCAAATTTGGACTACACGTTGTGTGATTGGATTACGACACGCAATCTCAATGTAATGAACTGTGATTCACATTGAAGTGAACCTTAGTGCCAGGCGTTGCCCACCGTGACCCGGTAACCAAAGCGGTAAAGGTTTCGGCTACTATTCCAATGGTCGCGGGAACGAGGCCTGCTGTCTCCACCTGATGAGATGAAATTACATCCAAACGCATCGTGGTTGTGCAGTGTTTTCAGGTGGGCAGCACCCAGTTTCCATCTGATGTGAGTACGGTCCCAGTGATCTCTGTGACTAAGGTTCACTTCACTGTGAATCACAGTTCATTACATTGAGATTGCGCGACGCAATCCAATCACAACGTGTAGTCCAAACTTGACTCTCCAATTAGTCGTTTACCGTTGTGTCAAGTGTTGCCCACCGTGACCCGGTAGCTCATGGGGTAGAGGTTTCGGCTATTATTCCAATAGCCGCCGGATCGAGGCCTGCTGTCTCCATCTGATGAGATGAAATTACATCGAAACGCATCTTGGTTGTGCAGTGTTTTCGGGTGGGCAACAACCAGTTTCCATCTGCAGTCAACATTAGTTTTTAATCTATAACTTGAAAGTGTGATGTTTTACTGTCGAATAGGCGACGCATGACTCAAATGAATCAATAAATGAATAAAATGTTATCCTTGTTAAATCATATCCCTCCGTTAGAAAAGTTGACTTAGTTCGTAAGAAAAGTAAATTGTATCTAAGGCTAGGTGTATGCACAAAACGGACCGCTCGTGGTGACCAATCCCACGTCGGTTAAAAGCATGTTACATTAGTCCACTGGTACTCAGACCCATCGTGGTGTACAGCGTGTTACTTCCATGTTTACAAGTTTCTAAAACACACACGTTTGGCATTATGCCATCACAACAAACTTGATTCACCTGTAGACGTCAAAACAACATGTGATGTACATACATTATAACGTGGCGCTACCATGTACTTGACCTACATGGGAGGTTGAGAAAGTACTGTCTCTTACACCCAAGGGTAAAAATATACATTTGAGTTATTAAGATGCACAACACAGAACTTGGTGAAGAGAAAAACGACGAAATTCACCATTCTCCTTCTCAGTACCCAAATCCTTGAACCAACTTGCACCAAACCCGATGTAGTCTGGGCACTGAAGATAACTACACGTAAACTAGCAGACACTTTCGGTAGCCTCAGCCAGTTTGAACTATGCGTAACGGTGTCTAAGTGCTATAATATGTGAGTGTTGCTTGCGGATGCTGTGCGTAGCTTTGAAGACACGTATGTCTCCGGATGTGAATTGAGCAATGTGCCTGGTGCTTCCTTGCGCGGCTGTACACCGGTCGCTAGATAGTGGTCAATATGGCCGAAATACCTGTTGACTGTGATTGAATTGAAGGTATCAGTGGAATTAATGGCGTGACCATAAGCATATGTACCGCAATACACGATGCACCGCAGTGACCTTTAGCGAAGTGTACGATATCTATTGTGACACGGTTAAGGGTTAGCGACAACCCGCTTTACAGGTCCGTATGCAATTTCTCGTCTAGTGCAACCGCTGACAGGGCGAACGAAATATGAGATGATGGTCTATGTTGACCTTAGATTGCTCTTCACCAGTTTGCCAAGTAAGTGACGTGCTGGAGTTGGTAAAACTCTGACTGAAGAGAGTGATATAGCGGTGGTCGAATTATAAGGTGGTTGAAACTACCGAAAAACGGCACTGGGTCATGTAGTGTCTTTGCTCATTATTCAATTGAAACTAAAAATATAGCGCACATGGTGTTACCATCTGAACCACAATGTCCACTGGCAACCTCCAGTAGATGGTTGTAGGGTTGTTGATCGTAAGCAGATGAACATTTATCTCCATAAAATGGACGAGCAAAATTTATTAAAGATTCACTTGAAATAGCTCGCCATGGAGATGGAATCCTGTAATAGCACATTAGTGTCGCTTGACTACTATTCATTCAGCTATGATTGGCTAGTAAACCCGTATTTCCTCAACCAATGGAAGAAAATGGGCCAATGCATTACAGTTCAAGTCACCTAAAGTATGTGTATATTGCGATCTCTTTATTTATGTTTCACAAAGACAGGGCACAGTGTACAGAAATAGGATGGGAGGGCCGCTTTGAAGTAGCCAGTGATATATTTCCATAAAAAATGACACCCGAAATTGTTAGGGAAACACACTTTCTGGCATATTCTAAAACCTGTATTGCAACATACTATCGGCTTGATTGGAACGGTAAAAATATATAAGGTAGAAGGAAGTTCATTGGCATTTCAGAGGGTACTAAGCATGGAATAAGGTTCAGAATCCGTACTACACTGGCGAATCTTAAAGATGCACTCCTCGCAGGTATGATGATCAAATGCATTCACAAAGTAGCCGCAAAACTTAACCTATGTACCTAAGCTATACCAAGAGTCAGCTGTGTACAACGCTAGCAGAACACTTAAGAAGTATGTCGCGGAGGACGTGGGACGATTATGAATAACCGGCTCTAATAAGATAATCGGGGATAGCGAGGAAAGCGTTAACCGCTGAGCATGAGAATTCCTCAGATATTTTAGTGGTATGTTTGGTTGGAGACAAGACTCCAAATTTTCATAACTGAGCCAGTGTGTATCGCCAGACATTAAACATGTGACCAAACTGAGCAGGGCGCAACTATCGGTAGATGGTATGCCGCAGACACAAATAGAAAGTCCGCTGAGTATGTGAGACTACTCGCTTGTTGAGCCCCTGTATTGGACTGCATTGTAAAGTTAGGGACAGATACCTGATCCACCGATCTACTGAATTGGCTACAAATTGGCGACAAGATTTGGTGGCCACATGTGCAACTGCATGCGTAATAGCAACAAGTTCTGGACGTTTGCCCATGTGTCATAGCGGGTGAGTACCTTGACCACAGTTGAACACTTGCAAGCTATGTAGCAAGGCTGCTACGGTGACTCAAATGCTCTTTGGATTAAGTGTCAGGTGTTAAATGTCTGCTCATGGGAGGGTTTGCGGGAAGGATAGGCGGACATTCTGATAAAACTTAGAGTCTAACAAACGTAACAGGAAAAGTTTCCAAAGAAGCATTGTCCGTAATAATGAAAATTTGTTAAAATTTCATATGGTTTACTGACATAACACTTACTGCTACACATCCAACAGTGTTCGTCATCGACATCACCAAGTGCATCGATGTCAGCTTTATTATGCAGGTCAGACGTAAGCGTTTTGAGCGCCTATACACCATGTGTTGCAGTCAGGGTAGTCCTTTCCACCATGGGAAATGTATGTTAAGTGAATGTATAGGCCAGAATAAGCTTTTGAGTCAAAGGCGAAAGTTGGTGTATCATCATAAAAATATTAACCGGTCGTCTATCAAACCTTCTGAAATGATGACTTGCTGGCCGTTTAATAATATGCTACAAGTTCGTGCATTCTGAAACTATCACTTATTTGATTTTGCATATTTCTTTAGGAAATATGTACCATGCAACCGGCTTTCCGCAAAGCAAACTCTATTCTGACCACCTCAATCTTGCTATATTCAAGGCTAGCTTGTTGTCTTTTCTTTTGGGTGAACTTGCAAGAATTAAATTTGTTACAGGATTGGAGGATTGTATTGTTTTCTGAGAGCCCTAATAATGGTGCGCTGTTTAATTCATTTGTACAAATACGTATCCAATAACAAAGTAGACCGCATTTACTAAGAACAAAAATGTAAAAGCGTGTCAGTCGCCACAGGCAATTTGTGCGTAGCGTATTGGCAAAACTAAGCCACATAGTTTTTTGCAGCTTGGAGCAAAAAAGCCACTAACTGTTGCTTTTTTTAAATTTAAAGCTGTATAGTAAATCTGCAAGTTATTTTTTAAATACATTACAGCAAAGTGACATTACCTTGCTGCCTAAAAAGAATAAACAACAGCTTCGCTATTTTTTTGCCACTATTCGGTCGACTTATAAGACGTTTGCAAATAAAGAAGCAATCAAAGTTGCTGCATAACTCATATGTGCATACCTTTCTGGAACCGTAATATCGACGAATTGAGAAATATTTTATGCACTTTTATTTAGAAGTTAAAATAATCTTAATTATTCTGTAAACTGTGATATTTCATTTACTATTTTATACAATGTAAGCCGGTGCTTATCTATTAGATATTGACCACCATGAACTTATGATCGTTGAAACCTGCATTTATCGATATCTGAAAACATTAATTGCAACACACTTAAACGGTTTAACATATAGACTAGATGGAAAATTTTTATAAACCCCGGATATCTTGAGCCTGGGTAAAAATCACGTTATCAAAAATTGTTGAGGGAATGAAAGGAGTCAACTCGAAAAGAGTGTTTATAAAGAGGTCAATTAAATATTGAGCAAAAGATCTATCAGTATCATACGTTTAAGAGAAAGATATACAAAATGTTTTCACTTTTCAGCGCGAAAGTCGGCCAACGTTACTGCTACTCCAAATTCGACAAATATGGAACTCATTAATCATCACTTGAAATCCCCACACGGGTTGTACTCAAGTAAAGTAAGTATTTCTAAGATTTTATGTAATGTACACAGATGGCACATTTGGACTCGACCGGATGTTCTTGAATACAACTATGTGGTTTGCGAAAAAACTGTCTACTGCATCAGATTGCGGGCGATAGACTGTTACAATTAATGATCTCATACAAGCTATAAGCAATCAGATGCAAGAGACCGATTATAAGAGAAAATTTTGCTTCATTCTCGGCGTAGTGAAAACCGCTTAGAAAAGATTTTTCATGTTGCATTTAAATGCTTATGCTCAGTATGATTGTCGATCAAACAATGCGTACTGGGAAACTAAAAGCTTACTCGATTGTTGAATTATGATGAAGCTTTGTACGTACGTTGCAACAGTCAAGATAATCCGTTACCTTGCACCCACGCTATAAGTGGCGACATTGTCAATCTAACTTACTCGTGAGAGTATGCCTCATTTTGGAGCAAATGCATGCATTCTGGTGGCGAAAGTTGAAAGGTCCTACCCCAGTCTCATCATTCAGCACATACTTAACTGCCTCTTGCAGGAAAACTCAGTTAACTTTATTAGAAGCATTGAAATTTATAGAACTGACCTTGTGTTACAGATTGTTGAGCATTCGGCGATTCGTCGACTGACCCCACACTTTGTATCTTGATAGAGCTACCAATTAACGTCCTCTTGCGTTAGTAATGCTTATGGTTGCACAACGAGTAGTTAGTTTTGATATCTATTAGATTTTTGATAAAATATGTATTTGTTTTCTTAAATAGTTGGCTACTCGCATAAACGTAGTTTTACACATGTACATAATATGCAAAACTTTGCTGCCATTGCATTCTTATACATAAATATATTCAATACAGATGAAAATATTAGCAGTATGAGGTTGATGAAAATGAGTAACGCAATATCTTTTCCATATTTTGCGTCCTAGTAATGCTTTGTCTCCAGAACTGCGCATTTTGTTCATACTCCGCTACTGCGTTTTCAGGTTGAGGATCAGCGAACGAACAACAGAAATATGAGTATCAACGTCATTGCCCTTTCGTTCTTGCTAAATAATTTAGTCAAAACAAAAAATAAATATAAATTATTACATCATATAAGAATTGCTGTGTAACTTCGCACTAGTAAGTATGCTTCATCAAATCTCTAATAAACAATGATATTTGTAGGGCCGCTACTATTTGCTTGTCTAATTTGGTTAGAAGTGACGTTATAAGTAGAAAAGCAAATAAGCTGCGGCGGAGATTTTATAATAAGAATAATGTCGAAACTCCACACTGGAAAAAACGGCAGGAATGCAGCGAAACGGGTTGTTAGATCATAATTCCGGTTAGTGGATGTATCCACAAGAGGTAAATTATAAAATAATACTATTCAGTTCACTTTTTAGGCAATCTTGGAAAAGAGTAAGAAAACTGAAAACAATTGAGGATATTAAAAACTTACGTTTAATTCTTCGGACCTTTTGATTTAAAGACAAGCTTTCGCTTCCAAATTGCGGCTAAGCCTTGACGGATTTCTGGGTATCAGCTGTTTCCGGTGAGTTGTAACAATGGACCTCGTTGTTACAGGGGTTCCTTTGTTGCTTTTTCTCAATGCCTTAACCCAAGATCCGTCTTGTACTCCTTCGAACTCTTCAGATTGAGCTAAGCAGAACCCGTGCTATCAACCTGCGCGTTGTGGTTAGCGATCGAAAGCATTCGTCTCCATTTTTAAAGTTGTATAATGACTTCACATCCACTGCTAAGTTTGGAAGTATTCTCTAGGTTCTCTCAGTTTGACACTGAACAAGAGTTTAAACCAGGAGTTATCTTGAGTAAGCCTTCGTTTATTCATGATGGATCACGCAAACTTCTACTTCGAACGCAACCAGATCTATTGACATTATAAAAACTCTTCTCATTGCAAAGCTCTACCAGAATTTTAATAGCATGTTGTAAACCAGACACACAGAGGCTGCATCAATAAGCCCAGAATTATGTGTCGGCCATTATAACTCAGTGTGCAATTTCAGTTGGCGTTTAGGCGGAGCAGTCATTTTTGAGGTTTTGTGAGTATACTAGCGACTTTTGAGCTACTCATTTCAGAACAAACAAAGGTTTGGCATACTATAATTTTCCACGATCTTGGTATCAGTTTCATAGCTTATGGTAAATATGATAAGTTCATGAAGCGGACTAGTGTTTAGATACCTCCAGAAAAAAAAGTTGGTACCTCTTTCGCAAGTCACCAGTGCACTATTCCAGTTCAGACAATCCCATGCTTCCCGAAACTCTATAAGAAGTAAGGAGCCACGGATTGTAATTCCTTGGTAAACTGACAGTAACTGTGTTAGGCAGCGTCATTTATGAGTCTAAATTTCCACCCCATTGTAGTTTAGGCACAACCATATTGATTAGCTCGGCAAAATACATCTCATTTCGAAAGTGTCTTAATTTTGCGAATATCATCGTTTCATTGAAGTCGTTTTCCGTTATAATTTAAACTTGGGGTTAAATTGCAACGCCACCTGCAACATGACGCTACTTGAAAATCTACTTGGACACCATTTCTGTATATTTTTTTATATCAGCCAATGTAAGCGCATAATATGAGACACTTCGGATGATAACTAATGACGTGTTCTTTGTGTTTTTACATCTAGCTTTCACCAGTACTACAACCTGATGGATGTGGCGGTCAATGGACGTTCGCCAACCACACGGAAGAGAGCGAGGCGGGAACACTTCCACGAGCGGGGATAGATTTGCTTAAATCTGGTGGTCATCAAGTTATGGATACCAGGTTTCAATGTGTCCCCGATATTGTACGCCAGCCTCAGTTTGTCGAGCAACACTATGGAATGAGGCATTCGAATTGTGATTACGGTTTGGCTAATTACAATTATCCACCAGGAGTCGGAAACATGCGCAGTGAGTTGCTCCTCTCATGCAGTTCCACCATACTATTTAGTTTAAGTAGTTACTGCAGACTAAGATCCGTTCTACCAACTGTAGTGAATCTGCCTCCCTCTAGTAAAATACGGGTAGACATTAGTGGTATCTTAATTAAGATATAAATCCCATATATTTACTCTAGATGAAGCATCCAAAGAAATTAAATATTAGAAAGAAAAATACCAAATGCCATATTGACTTCATGAATATATTGTTGTTGAAAGAGTATATAGCTAAGGTTTGAACCGAGGTCACTGCGGCCAAAATGATAGAAGAAAGCACCCAACCGACGAATCTCTCTTGTAAATTTGGTATGCTAACACTGCATCGTCAACTGGCCACCTGTGGTTTTCTTCCAAATAAGATAGTGGATGTTAAACTACACACTGAAACAGCCAGTGGCTAGATGCGGAACATTCGATAGTGCAACCGAAAACGATTCGGTTTCTACAGGAACTCCACGGATGCACCAAATGGCCTGTTGCGAAACTCAAAAGGATTCTCTGCAGCCTTACACATTCGTCTATTCCAACAATTTTGTCTAAGCATTAGGTGTCCTAATCGGTCAGCTTTCAAATTTCTTCAATAAACAGAGGTCATTTCTGTCATCAACAAAGTAATATTAGTGGCAGTTCAATGTTGTTAACCGGCAAAATAAAAATAAACAATTATTTCTTAGAGTAACGCGCACTGTAAAAGCAGTACGTGATTTAGAAATGTTTGTGGGATCCGTTTGGCGTTACTGCTGCTGCAGGTGTTGCAGTTACTTATGCAAACTGGTTGAGCTTCTCAAGCGGTGGGGATATTAGCACTTATCTTAAGAATAATGTACTAGTTATTTTTTATAATTATGATAATAATACTGATCCTTTAGAGTGTATAGCGTCACTCCTCAGCAAATTCAGAAGTACTCGCATAGCACCAAATTTGTACAAACGCAAATGAGCCATGCGTGTGTTCTAAGTTCGATAGTTGATCAACCTATATAGCTATCAAAGAAGTGATTAGAGATACAATGAATACTCCGAATAATCCTGATTACTGTGTTGCATAAAAATAATGGGATAAAACAGACGCAACATACTGTATTTGTTATACGGACCACATACATTGTTTTTTCAAACACGCAAAACCCCAAGACTCCTCGTACAAAGGTGCCAGAACAATATAACCTTCTGCGAAACTCATTTCTAATAAGACTATAGAAACACAGTTGCGTCTGGCAAAATGAGGCAGCCTTGATGTCCTAGCAAACCATCATGGTAGACCATTTATATGCATGATGTATTTCCCACAAATGTTTAAGAGGTTACTTAGTGTCATTGCATTATCCTCCGCTATGGAAGTCAGAGAAAAGTTCACAAATTCGTCTACCAAAAGGGCCATTGAGCCACTTCAACGTGGTAAACGAGAGTGGCTTGTAGGCAATCGCATGGAAAGTGACAGAAAGGATAGTAGCCATTTTCTTAAAAAAGGTGCACGGAGAACTATCAATGAGAATACAAATTCTGCTGCAACAAAGCACCTTGAACAAGGCTGCTAAGGTTGTCATATTTGGGCTAAAATGTACCACCGGAAATGAGAGTTGATTTTTCGGTTTACTGTCATTAGATTACAAGCCGCAAATCCTAATACCTATCTGGAAAAGCACCAGATGATGGAGTTGTCTTATTCGGACTAGTTCATAATGCGCATTGCCTCAATCTCCTGCTCGGAACTTGACCCATACCGCTTTCGGTTTGAGCCAGTAGCTAGCAGTTTGTTCCACTGAACCATGGGGAAAGACAGCCAACCATCACGGAATGTATCCTACCTGCGAAATAGCCCGACACTTGATTCATTGCCATGCGGGCTACCTACTGTGTGGAGGATGGTGGTTGGTCGCCTGGGTCAGGAATTCCCTTGCCAGTACTGAGGATAGAAACAACATTTTGGCGACTGGTAGGGCTTAATTTGCTTGGTTACTAATGAGTAAACGAATTTGGGCACATTTCTAGTTTATTGTTTGGTTTATCGCAAGTATATCACCAGCCGCATAAATAATATTGACTAAGCTGAAGTTGCCGTTCACTGCAATGGTGCCAAACATTATCAGACATGATTAAAGTTTTGTTTGTATTGTCCACCTCCAAGTTGCTCTCTGAATATCACGCCAAATATTCTGGTACACCGGAATGTTTGAGCTGCTTTTTAATTTATCGGCACAGTGCTAGGATGAAGGCCATGGGATAAATCATCAGTTTCGTTTCGCTATTTACTTTTTAACATAACCCGACTTTTTGTTCCACTACTGAGTTTAGTGATAAATAAAGTGTGTTTTTCCTAAAAGCAACAATACTCACTGAACCTAGTCGTCTACCACCTATCCTGACAGGTTTCAACACGCATGCTCTAGTGACGTTTCAGACTATTCCATTGACGCAGTATGTGCTTCCAAATGATCCACCAATAAGTTATTAAGGGTTGTGATATAATTTGCCCCTCTTAACTCGGTGTCTAAAGCGAAAGGTTGCCTTTATAAACTTAGTGACCCCGGGTTCGATATCTGCTATTCTACAAGATGAAATAAAATAAATTCGGAGCAGTTCATGCACTATAACGTTTTCGTGCTGGAAAAAAGGAATATTTATCCGCAGCATTAGTTGTGGTCCCAATGATTGAAATTAGCAAGAAACATTTCAATGCGAATCGCGGCCTACTTCGAGATTTCTCTTCGCAATCCACTCACCTGAGTGTACGTTCGCAACTTCGTCAAGCCATTATTGTTAGTTGAGAGCTCAGTTAGATTTTGAGTCCGTCTAAGCAGTATGGTGATTTACAAATTTATATTGTACTCCGACAAATATAATACACTAGCTCACATAACCATGGCTGTAGGCAGAGAAGACATGCTTCATGCATACCGGCACGTGTATGTTTGACTGTGCATTTGGTATTATGTACCACGTTGGCTGTTGCGCTGTTAAGAATGTGTTCGCTACTTAGTGATCGGTGGCTTATGCAGAGAACTGGCACCAATTTTGTTCTAAATGTCACCAACCACTCACACTGTAATTAAATGGCTAAATATATAGGTTCACTTTTAGTCATTCGGCTGAAACCATACCAAGCTGACAAAGACCACGGGCACCAAACTAATAAGATAGCAGTTTTATAAATTTTATGTTATTATTCTTATTATCGAAAACGAATTAGGTTTCACAGTGTTACCAAATATAGTGTGGTTGTCCACTTTACCAATGTGCACGCGGTTCTCCTATTGAGTGCAGAATTTACAGGTCATGCAAAAATATATTATGAAACGGGGGATCAAAGTTATTTGACGGGTTGTTGAAGAATTTGGTTTTTCTGCCTTCCATTGAGGTGGTGTTTTCACTAGCCAATGACACGCCTTGTTAGCATGTGTGCGCGAAGTTGGATTATGCGTATGACACTGCTCTCGGAGCTAAATTATTAGTTTGCAGACATTTCGGTGCCCGACTAGTCAACATCATTAACACAGCTTCAATGACATGTTCGCAAATTCTCGTAGGCGAATTTTGAGAACTAAATGCTTATTGATCAGGTTCTGTTTAAATAATATTTTTCAATACGCTCATCTGCATTCCGGTTTGGTACCCTTCCGAATACGTCGACGTTATTTAGTTCGAACTGGCGTTTTTCAACATCCATAAGCACAGACATCAAGGAGTTTTGATTATTACGGCGAACGTTTAGACCAAGTACACAAAGCTGGGCACTAATATTTCTTCCTGTTTATCCTTAGTCACAATGTTGGTAACTTTTTTAAAGATTACAACAAACGTTTTTCACTTGTTAATTTTGTCTTTAAGTCCTGGCACTCAAAGCAGACGAGACTTAACAAACACGTAACATTTGATGACACTTACGGAAGTCTGCGAAGCAGGTCGTTGCATCTGAGCTATCGATGTTGCATATTATGGTAACGAAACTGAACATTAAATCTGAAGATCGAGGCAAGCCACACATGCACATCCAGTGATACGGATATTCGCAAGCATTTCAAACTAGTTGGTCTAGGAACTTAAACAATTAGACACATTGTCTTGCCTTTGATTAATGTTAATTACTCGATTCTAAAGATTGTATGAGTGATCATTATTATGCTGACCCTGATGTATCACATGGATTTATTAAACTACATGAGTTTGTGTCGTCAAAATTAACTCGTGTTAATGAAAGAAAGCAGATGCGTTATCTCGTTTAATTGGTACACAAGATCAAGAACCAGAGGATTTGGTAATGGCTCAAATCTCCGTAGAACCCCAAGTACAGCAAGTTGTGTCTGATATTTTCGGTGCCTTACCAGTAACATTCGAAATGGTGCGGGAAGCGACCCAGCATGATTCTACCCTACGACAAGTGATTGCTTTCCACCTCAATGGATGGCCTAAGAGAGTTACAACGCCGGAGTTTCAACAATTCCACCAACGGAAGGAAGCACTATCGGTCGTCAGAAACTGCCTGCTGTTCTCAGATCGCGTCGTCATTCCACACATCTTTCAAGAGAGAGTCCTCCGACAATTGCATACTGGTCACCCGGGAATGAATCGCATGAAATCGCTGGTACGAAGCTATGTGTATTGGCCCTATATGGATTCCCAGATCGAGAGTTTAACCAAGAATTGTCCCCGATGTGCTAGTGTATCAAAACAACCAAGGAAGACGGAATTGCAATCCTGGCGAATACCAACGGAACCATGGTCAAGGGTACACATCGACTTTGCAGGTCTAATTGATGGTCACCATTTTCTCATTGTTGTCGATGCACACAGTAAATGGCCGGAGGTGATTCAAATGATGAGAACCACAGCAGCAGCCACTGTCTGCGCTCTTCGACAGATATTTTCCCGTTTAGGTGTTCCCCTACACGTTGGTTTCGGACAATGGAACACAATTTACCTCAACTGAATTTGTCGTCTTCTGTCGCAGAAACGCGATCGTCCATGTAAGGTCTTCACCCTTCCACCCACAATCGAACGGGCAAGCGGAACGATTTGTGGATACCCTCAAAAGAGCTTTGCTAAAGATGATGGGGGAGGTACCTTGGAGGAGATACTTGACACATTTCTGCTGACGTATCGCATAACTCCGAATCCGCAGAAACCGAACTCCCTATCTCCGGCTGAAACTTAGTTTCCACGAAAAATCCGTGTGCCGCATGATGCCCCCAGGCCCAGGAAGGATCAGTTGCTGTCCCGTAACTATCAGATGGAGCGACAATTCAACATCCGACACGGTGCTCGGAAGCGAAGCTTTAATGTTGGTCAACAAGTTTTGGCGAGAGACTATCGCATCCACTATCCTAAATGGGCTATGGGCCATGTACTATACAAACGTGGTAACGTGATCTACGGTATCCAGGTTGGGACGGCAGTTTGGGTAAGACATGTCAATCAGCTGCTAGCGGCACGGACTGGGGAACATGTGCAACAACAAGTACCAGCAACGCAGTTACCTCTGGACATCCTGGCCGACGCCAGTGAAGCGACGACTCCCCCGCATGCCCCAACACCGCAAGCACAAAATTCCCCCCGAAACCTGGCAGCACAGCGGCCGAAGTGGCGACGCAAATTCGTATCACCCATGCAAGTCAACCCCAAGCTGAAATCGTACAACACAACTCAAAGGGGGGAAGTGTTAGGAAGGAATACACGAGTCAAACAAGCCAGGACCCCATCGCCTTGGCCGGCTATCCAAACCCATCCGCCCTGCTTGGGGCGAACAGAGAGCCAACCAGGAGAAGCGGCCAATGAACGCTAGGTTGAAGTTCCCTTATTGGCTGTAAGTTAACATTTCCAGAGCTTTCCACGGTCCCTTTAAATATACTGTTCACGAACTTTCCAAATTACGTTTATAATGAACGGTGTGATTTGCTAATTCATTCCTGTTGCTCTGCTCGTCCGATTCGTCTTCTCTCTGTCCTGTGGGGGGGCAGCGATTTCGGGTTTGATTGGGAATCAAGCGTCCATTCAGGCGAGGAACGAACACTTCATCCTCCAACCACGCGTTATTCCTACTTGGTATGAATGTGCCGTTGGAACATGAGCACAACACTGCAGGGTATCATTGAAATGACATCTTACATACGTCATTTGCAAGTTGAATTATAGGATGCATAATTGTTATGCACCCAAGTATCTAAACACGCTTAAAGACTATGCTTGTCCCAGAAATATTGGGGTTTTGTAGGAATTCTCAGTAGTTGGATACAATTTTCTTGCTGCCTTTGCATTCTCCATGATTATTTGTGTAGGCGAAAGGTGACTATGTATTAAACAACGGAACTTGGATGTTTTAAAACAATCAAGTTCCTAAAAAGTTCTGTTTTTCTGAACCTCTTTCCACTCGCCTGGTATTTGACACTGTTTTGCAGCCAGTTGATTGTTTTTCTGTATGCGCCAATAGCTTGCGGTTACATGTGGCGCAATTTAAAATTAAAGGGATACTTTCAACCCATTTGTTTTATCTAATCTGCCATGAAGATAGCATATTTCTGTGGTCACCTTATCTGGCCGTGGAGATAAACGATATTTGAATCTCCACAAAAATTTACTGAACTGTTTCGTGGCACCGGTAGTTTCAAAGGTTGAGCATTCGCAGTACATGTAGAAAGCATATATGTCGTAGCTCTCACAAATGGTTGCGAGGTTTTTAAGAAATTTATTATGTATCTGATACTTATTTTTAATTACGTGATACTAAAAGTCTGCATTTTATATAATCGTTGTTGCTATTATTATATCAGTATTTTCTACCGATTACTCCCGGTTACTTTCATGTATGCCTCATAAAGGTTTTTCATATTTAGTCCCTTTAAACTTAAAAATTTACTCAGTTTTAAGCAAAGCTACAGGATTCAACGGTTGTGTACACATCCTATACGAAGAGAAAGAAATTAACGAAGGCCAGTTGGTCCGGAGGTTGGGGATGCGCGTTGAATATAGTCGGCTACACACCTAAAACCAATAATTATTTAATTAAACTCTATCAAAAGAATGAAATCTACTGATCAGTGGGGTTATTGAAATGAAGATGCTTAGCTATCATTTGGGGATAACTCGATTTGAGTCAGAAACATGTTGGCAATATGCAGTGTACCAATTATACCCATGTTCATTTACTATGCCATGGATATAACTTGGATACATTTAGTACGTCATAATTAAGCCGAATGTTTTCAAGTGATAAATTTTTGTGTTATTACTTTGCTCGTTTGGCTGTGTTTAATTTGCAGACAATTTCTGTCAAGTCACAGGTCATAAATATGGCTTTTAATCAACAAACTGTTTTGGATCATGTCTTTGAGGTGGTCTGGAGTACAGCTTCATTTGGTTTTAGATAAGCAAAACGAAGAATGTAACTACTCGGCTTTTCAATATAAGTCCCTCAAATTTTGAAGTTGAATGGAAACAATTTGCCAGTTGCCACACATAACTGGTAGTGGTTTTAGTGAACTCCAGAACAATTTCTTGATAAATGCACTTATGATGTTGACAAAGTTAGCAAAGGAAAGTCTGCAACATAGACGTCCAGCAATCCTTCCACGTACAACAAGAATCAGGTATTAGAAGTAATTTACATTACATAGTTTTTGAAAACTACGTCGATGAATTGCGAAACTTTTTAGATCAATGTAGTAAATTTCCTCGTTAGCTAAAACGTCACTATTACACCAGGAACAGTGTTATTTTATGACTCGGCTTAGTTTGCCTAGTACAACGATTTGCATCTAATCACTGAAGTAATAAGAAAAGACTATCAACTTGAGTTTCAGCTGGCATTGCGCTTTATACTCATGACCGATGAGAAATAAGCAAACATTATTTATTGCTAAAAGGAAGAGAAAAGTCAGCTCTACGTGAATAATTAGTTTACCTTGATTACCACAGGCATTAAACAGGATTTACTCACATTTTAGCGAACTGCAGATATATTCAATTTGAAGCTTTTTCAGCGGAATGGACATTTGCTGCCTTGGATGCTCGGCATGACGTAGACCTGATCCTTTGTATAGGAAAGTTATTGTATGGGATTCACAAACAGGTGTACCTGTAATTTAACATGCATATAATTGGATAACTGACCTACTTGGTACATATGATTTACCTAATATTTAAGTTTTACCTATCGATATTTTGGAAATCCCACCTACGGTTTTAGTAATTTTCTGACGTGTAGAAGGATATTGTGATTGGTTACGTACATTTTTTATTTGATTAGACGATTATCAATCATTGGACAACTGGACTGTACTGGACTCGGTCAAACTTGCTGGCAGTGGAGTGATCAAGCCAGAAATAATGACCTATCCTCTTACATCCAAACCGTCAGATGATTCACCACAAGTTAAAGATCACAATCAGATGGCCAGGGATGCAAGGAAAACAAACTGGATCACTACAAACGTGGAATCGATAGATACCGAATTTTCAACTTGTGAACAACCATCCGCAGGGGATGTAGAAGTCACGATGACTCCTCGCCACTCTAAACCACACAAAGAAAGACAAAGCAAGATCGCGCATGGCTACATGGGTTTCCCAAAATCTAGTTTTGTATGACGGCGAACAGTATGCAGATTTCGCCATCACTTAAGTCATTCCGCTGAATGGAAAGTGCACAATTTTAGCATGCGCAGAATTAACCGCTCACCACATCAATGTGTGACCCAGTTCAACGGGAAAGTATATTGCAGACCTAGCCTGCAGTAACGTCCCAAGGATAAATTGTGATATATTTTAAATAATCACGAATTTTTAAGTGCCATTTATTCTTCTTCTACATATTTTATATCGCTGACCTTCGCTTAGTCACGAACCAGTATTTTGAATTTAGTTTGAAAAGATTGAACAGCTAATATGGTTTTCCACTGCTTTGCTATATTTACTTGACATGCTTAACTGATAAGGATAGCATTACAATGATTGTTGGCCACAAAGCTGAACAAATTTTACAGGTTTATGTGGAAACTAAACTGTTATTTAATTAACTGCGCAGTTTATATCTAACCAAACTTTGTGATATTAGTATTTTGACTGCTGTTTAATTAACGGAGCTGTTGGTAAACAGAACGTAGGTTGCAAAAGAAGAATCCTCAACTTTCGCAAACCTACTTTTTGTGTGACGAACTAAAAAGGACAATTAATTATTCTTGGATTAATCCGTGAATAACAAGGTATACAAACAGTGTCTGATCAATCAGCTTGAGGGCGTTTCGCCGTATTTTAACAAATCATGCAGATTACTGAAGAGTTATTAAGCGATTGCCGAAGATTTGCGGATGGATAAATGAAATGCTGTTGGCCATGATAAACTAGACACAATTAAAAATTTGATTAAGGAAAATATGTGAACTTGCTTTTATTTAACTGTAAATATATGCAACCTATTTACTATAAGCAAACTTCAGAAACTACCAGCTAACTTGTATGATGTTAAACAATTCCCTAGCTTGAGAAATGATATTATGGTCTATCCTATCTAAAAATAATAAGTAAATACCATAGAAATGGTGGAAAGCATAATAATAAGATGGAATGCAAAATCGTCCATTCTTTCACGTCTAGGAATTAAGGAAAAGTGTGCATAGGGGGTTCAAGAGATAAACGTTCACATGAAATTTGACTACATGACCGAGATTTGAGCAGGTGTAGTTAGAGAACGGATTACATTTACATGCTTTCGGTACAAGAAGTTTACTTGCAGCTCCGAGTGGACTAATTTGTAGAGTTTACTCGTTAATGAAAGCAATTATTCAGCGTAGGTTAAGTGCATAGTAATTGATACAGCCTGCTTGGTATGTTATCCCAATATTAGAAATGAATTTTGTCTAAAAAGGTGTAAATGTAAGTGTAAGGTGTAAATGTAAGTCCTAATGTAGAGTGTTTTACGTATCCAAATGCAGAGCGGGTAACCAAAATTTAAATTTACACCTAAGGTAATTAAACGTCAGCATTAATATTTTTATGGTGATTAAGATAAAATGTTTTACTATGTCAGAATAGGAAACTTCTACATGATTATAAGCGACTCACCTCAAGTTTTGCTTTAATAACCATCAATAAACGGAACAACTTTCTTATTCCTCGAATGGGTCAGCGTTTATCTACATTTATGAACCAAAAGCCACATATGCTTACCTAACTTCTACAGTAACTATCTGACCGATCTATTTTGTTGTGGATGCGCCCGGATGAAAGATTTTTGGAGATTTGCAATAGCCAACATGAGAGGTTAAAGCAATCCACACTACAATAATCCCAGTCAATTAAATGTGCAATTGTAACTACACGAAAAGAATTTTAAAAATATCCATGCGTTTGGTTCTAAGATTACCGAAAAAATACGGAAGTATCAAGATATCCTGTTTAAAGAAAGCTTATGCACTACGAGAGCAAAATGAAACTCCGAAGCGACGTGAAGACGTACCTCAGCGCAATATCAACTATTGTTTTATATTTCACTCTCGTAATTTAACAACCGCAAGAAAGTATCCCCTTAACATTTAGCGATACGTGATGGAATATGGATTGTACCACTATATATATAACGATATTTGCATCGCTGCATAATTATGAGTACTTTTTAATATCTCAACCTGAGAGCTGCAAAAGAAGAAGTGTGGCCCAACACCATGAAATGTGTGCTAATAGATTGCGCTTGCTACATCGATGAAGCTGCTCGGCTAATACGTAGGAGAAACGGTATTATACCTTACGTGTATGGTTCCGATTTTGATTTTCAATCTTTGAAATTTTTTAATTTAACACCGCAATCTTCGTTTGAATAACTTATACGCCAAACAAAAAGTACGTGCAATTGTTTATGGTGTTCGTCAATTTAGATAAATAAGGTTAACCATGCAAAATACCCTGCGTTCGACAGTGTTTTTGAACTGGCCGCTGATCCTTTAACGTCACTTGGTTAAGTCAATTTACACATTAAATGAGAAGCAATTTGAAACGAATAAACATTATTTCGTACAAACGCGTGTTTTCTCTCAAATCTAATATAAAGAAACTTCTCGGTGGAGATCATTAACACCAGATGCTCTTAAACACATTAAAATGAGCAAAGAAATATCGAGAGCGTTTTTTAAGCTAAGCAGGAATCAGCCAACCAGGTAAAATGTCGAACAACAAGGATGCGACCTTATTTATGGTTGAAGGGCTAGCTAAGTTAACCCTAGCAGTCGAGTCGCGACGAATACCTAAACAAATGTAGTGGTGCGGAAACTATTGCTGTCTAAAGTTGACAGCAACGATGACAACATTCATATTTTTTAATTCGAACGTAGAAGCGTACGAAACTATGGACTGATTTGTCCAACCGGAAATAACGTGGAAAATCGAAACAACTGCACATTATTTTCCGAATCTAATAAAGGATAGGTTAGTTTGGAAATAATTTACCTAGTTTTTTAGAAAAGGTTTGTTGAGAATAAACGCTATATAATTATTAAACAGACAACACGTTTTTGTTTTTTCTTTTTGGTCAATGTTTCGGTTGCCTTTGACACTTTTCTGATATATCAGCAAAAGTCGATTAGGTTGAAAGTCATGCGCTGCATATTACTGTAAGTATACCTTTCAAGGACAAGACGATTACTGTAGTGGGGATTTGTAATGCAGAGGCAATTACGGTGCTAAAATCAACAGTGTATACCATTTGTACGTAAACATTTATTCAGGTGATCAGACAGTATATCAAAGCTGCATACATGGAATACCCACAGCTTTGCTAACCGCAGATGCGCTGAAAATTTGGCATTATGCCGAAGGTAAAACAATCCAACTTAGTGTGAATATCCGTAGCTCGGGGGTGTGGATGCGGATTTTGAGCGGTTCTCCGAGCTGAGTGATTATTGTGCAGACGTTTCGTTGCCTGACTAGGCAACATCATCAGTGCGGCTTCAGGGGCCTGCTTCGCAGTGCCTCGTAAGCGATTTCAATGTCCAAGTGCTTATTGATCGAGTTCTGCTTTGAATGCCAGGCTTCAATGAACTCACGTGCTTGCCGGCTTTTAGCCCTTCGGAGGATACTGACATGCTCTATGTCGAATTGATGGTTCTCAGCATCCATATGCACTGACATCAGGGAGTTCTGATCGTGGTGACGTACGGCTAGACTGTGATCGTGTAGCCCTGTGCCCAGCTTTCTCCCAGTCTGTCCCACGTAGTATTTGTCGCAGTTCCGGCAGCAGATCTTATAAATCACACTAGTTTCTTCCTCTTTGCTAATTTATCTTTCACTTTGAAGAGTTTACTGCGAATTTTTTCCGTTGGCTGGTGTGCAACTTTGACTCCAAAAGGCAATAAAAGCCTCGCTGCCATTTCAGAGATACCGTTGATATAAGGCAGTGTTGTTTTCTTTTCAGCTGTTACATTTGTCAAGGTGTGTTGAGCAACCTTTTGTGATGCGAGGCAACGTAAAATGAAGCCTTTTGGGTGCGAGTTCCGCTTGAACAGATTGAAGAGATGACCTTCCTTTGCCCGTCTCAGCTGCGGTGTGCTACAGTGGGTTTGTGCTTGTTTGAAAAGGGTTTGCACGCAGCTGCGTTTGTGGGCTGCCGGATGATTGCTGCCGTAGTTGAGGATCTGGTCCGTATGCGTAGATTTTCGGTAGACTGTTGTTTCCAATCGTTAAGCACCAGTCCGTCGTATGAGAACGTCTAAGAATGGTAACTGCTCGTTGTTCTCTTCCTTCCTGGTGTATTGGGTGCCATCGAACACACTGTTGATTAGTTACTGTGTTTCCTCCAATTTGGAACGTCAACATACGATAGATAATTATTATGAGACTTTTTGTGGTCATCTCGTATTGTATTTTGGTAAATGATGGCTAAGTTTCACTTCACGGGGAATCGCGGTCCACGGAGATTACATGTCGTTAGCCCTCCAAACAACGTGTACTTAAATTGACCCCTTCATCTACGTTAGATTTACCCATTGTTTTGGGTGTCAGACAAGTTAACTCGCTGATTTTTGTCGGCATATTCAGAAACATCTGTGTACACAAATTTAAAGATTTATGGTTTGATCATTTTTCATTGAGCTAAGTTTTATAATTTATCTGGATTGCTCCCAAGAGATTACTGTTTATTCTTTGTCACTTGATTCGCTGTGGAAGTGTTTTAACAGAAGTGACCGGAATGATGGAATCCCGATCGACCTTAACCACTATGTCTGCATAGGTGCCTGATGTCCCCACATGCTTAAGTTTGGAAAAGGTTTGAGCTGCAGATGCAGAGGGCTGTTTCCGCTGTTCTATTTTCGTTGTTGATAGAACATGTAAAGACCGGCAGAATTCAAACATCTAGGGTAGTGTCTAAGTTTGTTGTCTTAAGTACCACGTGATTATCAGAGTTACGATATATTTGGTCCTACAATAGTAAGGAATTGGAGATGACAGCGGCGATTGACACCTTGCTGTCGTGCTTAAGGGGAATCAAGCTGTGCGTCATTCCTGTGTTTAGAGGATAATAGTCCTCATTGACGCCGACTCGCAATCAATCGGATAATAAATAAATAAATAGTAATCGTGAGTAGCAGGTTTCTTAGTTATAATTTTTATGGTATTCATCTCAGTAATTCATAAGCTACATAGCACAGCCTTGTCCGGAAAAGCACCAGACTCGTTTCACCCTTGACGCACCACTGGTGTTTTTCCGGACTGTGTTGTGTTACGTTGCATGTAAACAATCGGGATAAAAAGCGTAAAATAAATAATTAAACCTTTATTCTCTGCGCTGTGAGGCAAGCCCACGGAGGCATCATCAAATAGGTGCAAATGTATAGAGCTTTTATGACAGTTGTATCGGTGACAATGGAAACTTTATCAGACATTCATGGTTGAAACTGTACAAGAGGCACAAATGTAAACATGAATTCATTTACCTGTCGTGATATCAGGACACGTTTGTATGGATATAGTCATTCTTCCATACATTGCATTAATATATTAGTCTTGATGAGATCAGGATTACGGATGTTCAATTATAAAGTAACTAGTGAAGAACAAGATGACCAG